CATGAAACAAAACTACAAGAGATGCCATATTGATTGAAGGTCATCATAGTTCAGTAGGACACTGTAAACTTGTCTCAGTTTAGTCAGTAAAACACTATGCTTTTGATAGAAAAACAGTACAATTCAGTCAATACAAATTACCTTTTATTGTCAAATTTTGTAAGCAAAGAATCAAGATACAGCATTAGCCTGCTAACAACCCCTGCGAGCTGTCTGGTAGGGGTTGTTTACAGTCCTTGTGCATTTATCTAATGTGAAGGACTGCATTTGGATATTATCTTTTTAAAAATAGTGTTCACATTCATGAAAATCTTCAAATTAATCAGGAGTTTTCTTAGTATCAAGAGGTTGTGTTAAATCTGCTTATCTTATTTTTACGATATTTCATGTCAGTGCTAAGAGTTTTGTTCACAACTTTCTCAAGATTTTCTTAAACAATTTCTATATAAATAGAACTTAAAGAAAAATATTCCTTCTATTCTTTAAAAGGTTGATCAGATTAAGAATCTCTTATTCACCTTCATCAGTAAACATAAACTAGCAAAAAAAGTTGTTTATCACATTTTCTCTTCTATTATTACATGGGTTTTTTACTGTCATTGACTTTCTTTTTGTTATGGTGAGCGTAGTACAGATAGCCCATTGTGCAGCTTTGCACTGAACAACAAAAACATTTTTGTAGTTAGTGTAATATAAAATCCCTTATAGGTAACCATAATGATAGTTTTCTTGTTTTCTTTTTCTAGATTTCTATAAACCTCAACATCTTTCATTTGAGATTTCTGTGAGTTTCCTGTTTTATAAGCTAGGCATTTTTAATTTATTACAACTTTAATTTTTCAACTCATCCATTTATGAAAAGACTTTTCATTAGAAGTAAGCATTTATTATGAATCATGTGCATCCTTAGAAATTTTTGTCATAGTTTTGACCTTGATGATCCTTATGGTTAAATCCAAAAAAAAATCCAGTCTAGTTTGCAGAGTTTTTGCTAATCAATACTTGGTTGTGTCATCTACAACAAAATATTTATAAAATGCTTAGCAACTTCAACTTTTGTGCCTTAGATGTAACTCTTCTTCTTATGGTTGACATCAAGCATACGATCCAAAAGAACAGAATAGTATTTTAATTGTTTAGTGTGGGTACTTTTACTTTTATATCTTTTAAACATAATACTACTACTTCTTGTATCATGTTAAATAATGAGTATGGATTTCTTTGTTTACTATTCCACTTGTTTTTACATTACTGGTTCAAAGTTTGGGTTGTACAATGTTTCATTTGGCAAAAAGTGAGATTGTGTTCAAGAACATTGACCTACTGTGATTTTCTTGTTGTTTTTTTTCTTCTCACTCATGGTTTACTGTATGGTAATAGAATGTTTTTCAGATTATACCATTTCTGCATATTTTAGCAGTGAATTATTCTCTTTTAATTGGAACTTGGATGCTACTAATCATTGAATCTTTATTCACAAATGAATGCATTGCATGTTGAAAACAATTTATAGCAAAAGTAGTACACTGCATTATTAATTTTTTGGGTAAATTAACCAATGTCTGTTAATAGTTTCACAATTCATTATTCATTGTATAATATTGACAAAACTACTATAACATTTTAGAAATAAAAGTTTTTACATCACATAGTTCTAGGAGAAGTGCTTTGAACAGTATTATGCAAGTAGCAGAAAAGCTCTTTTACTTACTGGGAGCTTACATTTGGCCAGTCAAAGAAGTGTATATGTGTGTGTGTGTATATGTGGGGGATCATGGTGTTGTTTAAAGATGTGTGTGTCACTTATCTACTTCTGAAACTATTATTGCAAGTTTTGTATATTAAGCTATGAATTTTTTATATTTCATATTATCATTACAACATTAGCTGGAGAAATGCTTTCCTTTTCAGCTTGCTTGACTAAACTGATAGTAACACCCCGAGCTTCACTAACATTTAATTTCAATTGAGTTATTATGTAAAAATATGTGTTATTTAAGTTGATTATAGTTTACATAAATATGGAGAACTCTGAAGCTTTTTATTGTTTTTCAGATCACTACAGAAAAGAAGAAAGAAATTGCTCAGTATCGTGAACAGGCTGTAGCTGTGGAGAACCATTTGAGAGAAAATAAAACTTTGAAAACTCAGTTAATATTCAAAATTCAATCAATTGTTCAAGACTTGGAAGTTAGTATAGAAATATATGAAGTATCTTACATCATTTAAAAATATTTCAAATCATATTATTTGAAGCAGGGAGCATCTTGAAGGGCTATTTTGCTTACACAGTAAATATCCTTACACATTGAAATGCTGTCCTGAATGTCTGACATTCAGATTCTTTGAACATGTTTTCATACACACTTTGCTTCCAAATAGCAATGTTTTTAATGCCTTAAGAGATAAGCTAGCTTGGAAAATGTGTTGACATTCAGCCATTGCTAATCATAAACAAAGTTAGAAAACAACTTTGAGTTCCAAGCTGACTGAAAGTAAAAAAAAATAAAAAGTGTAAAATGAATTATTCTGTGGTGATTCATAGTAGATTTAACAGGAGCATAACCAAATAGTGTAATGAAAAGAGTGGGCTTTATGTATGACCCTCAAAACAGCACATTCCTCAACATTTTCTATCTTTTAATCAGCACCCATTAAAAAAAACAACATCCAGGTGCACAACTAGGATTTTATAAAGAAAGGGGGCTCACTTTTAATCCACCAGTTTCTAAATGATATAGGTGATGTCATCTGTGTATAATATATTGGTTATTGAGCAAATAACAAATAAGTGTACTTTTTTTTTAATTGGTTCAGATTACAGATGAATATTCAGCTATCTAATAAATATGACTTAACCAAATACACATATATGGCTAAGGGGAGGGCTTAAGCTCCCAAAGCATGCATGCCTATATTCAAGTAAATTTGAAGAGTACAGGTCATCAAAGGCTACAATGGTAATATTTACTGGCTAACTTTTGTAACACAAAATTCTAATAATTAACTATTTATATTGCCAAACAAGATATTTTTGAACTTTTGCTACTGTACAATAGTAATAATAAAGCATATGCAAGACTCAACAATATATTATTCATTTGAGGCATGCTTTCTAATTAGTTGAAATTCTTTCATATTCTTTTTATGCTTTCATTTGGTGTCACTGAGAGAATGATAAGTGCTGTTAAATTTATTCAACCAGTTATTAGGCTTTCTTTCTGGCTTTAAATCTGTCTGGGGGAAATGACTAAGTTAATTACAATCAAGCCTGTCTTTTTTTTTTTACCAAAAATTTAATGGTTTAGATTTGGAGAAGTGACATTATTTATGTTTTTATTATTTAAAGATGGCTATACAGCCAGTTATTGTTTAACCTATTTTTTAATGCATTCTTTTGTAGTTTAAAAAAATAGAAAAGATAATGAAAATGAAGAAAAAATTAAGTGATACGTATTTAGCAAAAAAAAACAACTTTAATTGATGGAAAACTGGCAACTTGTAGATTAACATTTGTTTTTTTATATATTGTTTTTACTAAGAGACTTTATTAAACTACTACAAAGTTACAACTTTAGAGATATAATTTCCTTAGTGAAGTATTTTACATATTTTCTAATGTATTTACTGCTGTTGATGTATAGATAGTTTTCAGCCTTGTTCCTTTATCATAAACTTGGCATTTGTTTAGATTGAAGGAGCTTACAGGTAAAAATAATATCATTCATAAAGTTTTATAATAATCAAGATCATATGTGTTTTATTGTTTTACCTTTTTGTTTTCTAACAACAGTTGTTTTTCGCAGAAAAGAAATCATCTAAGAAATGCATTGGCACTAAACCATAACATAAAGGGTAAAGCAGCATCTGTAAATTGCCCAACAGATGTGCCTGTTTTAGAACATTCTGAAGTTAATGAAACAAGAGTTCATGCTGTTGCCACAGATCCAGTTTTGAATTCAATTGAACAATACAAGACAATTAACTCTGAGGATACAGTTCTGCAGGAAGAAATCTCAGAGGTTCAAGAGAAAAGTTACAATGAATTGATACTCGATAAAGAAAGTAAAAGATGTTCAGCTAATGTTAACAGTGATATTTCAGCTAGTGAGGCTGAAGTACATAAAAGGCTAAAGCATACAGTTCCGATTGATTTGTCTATTGAAAAAAATGTTGGAAATATCCCCGTAAAGGTAGTTTCTTCTGAGACTCCTTATGACAGGGTTTTTGTGACATTACCAGCATCAGTTTCACATGCTAGAGAGAGAGCTGTAACTCCAGACACTGAACAAGAAAGTATGCTATTAACTGATGGTGATAATCAAATAAATTCATGCAATAAAATGTCATTTGTTTCAGATGACCAGTTGAGGTCTGTAATTAGTGTGACACCTAGTACTGACCTCGAAAAGTATATGGACAGTTCAGTTGATACTATAAGCAGCTTTGACTTAACGGAAGATTCACCTAGTCCACAATCGGTCATCAGAATTTGTGTGTCTGACTCTATTACAGTGACACCAAGTTCTGGTGTCACTCTGCGGCAGGTAAGTAAATTGAGTACAGACTCAACTGATTCACAGAAAATAGTACCTAAACACTGCCCTAGTAGTGAGCCATTGGATTGTTCTAATAATGATAACAAAATTTCACATGAACACTTTTCTGATAACCTCCATACTTCTGAAGAGTCTGCTGTTATTGATGGAGAAACAAAGAGTACTTATATGTCAGTTCATGAGGATATAGGATTTCTTGGGGGGAAAAGAAAAGACTCCTTTGAAAATAATAATCTTATGTGTGAAAAAGGTGAGAATGAACATAAAAAACATATCCGTAGGTCATCTTATACATTAGACAAACCATCATCTGTTTTAATCATGGCTCATGAACGATGCTCTTCAGAAAACAGTTCATCTCAGGAAGAATTTCCTCCACAATCACCTGCCACAAAATTAGAAAAACAGTTGAGTCACAAAGCTACTAAGAAGTTGGATGTTGCTGGTGATGATAAACATGCATTTCATTCAGCAGAACAGAGTGTTATAGCTCGAAGTAAAAAAACTGGAGTTGAAATTCAGTGTGCACTTACTAAACGTCCAAAAAAAAAGAAATACGGTATTCTATGATGAATAGTGAAAGTATTGATAGAACTGTTGTTCCTCCCTTAACATCAGTTAGAAAAATCTTTAATGAATCTGGAGATCAAAAAGAAATGCTGTCATCTTGGAATAACAAAAACCAGTTGGAGAATGAAGTTGTGGAAAGATCTGAATCTAAAAAAAATCAAATCTCTCTGTTAGATTTTCCAGGCAGCTCTGTTACTGATCATTCAAAGACAAGGGAAAACACTTCTAAAACAGAAAGGACTGAATCACAGAATGAGGCTGTGATTTTTAGCTCTCCCGTTTTTTATGATAGAAGCAGCAGAAATTCATCTTCCATGGTCAGTTTCACAGAAAAGCAGATAACAGCACTGGAGGAAAAAACATATGAACTGAAGAAGTATTTGGAGGAGACATCCACAAAAACTTCAGAACTAGCAACGACAGGTGTGTATAGGAAAGATAAGAAATCTGCTGTATGTTTACAAGAAACGGAACAGAAAGAAAGTAATGATAACTCCATGACTGAATTATTCTCCTTGTCTAATTCTCCAGCAGACTATTACTCAAGGTTTGTAGTGAGCTCTCTTCTTCTTCTTCTTCTCCATCCCTTTTCTTTTTATAAATATCGCTTTTAAAGAAAATTAATAAACAATTGCCTAATAGAATATCAGTATAATTTTTGAAGCCAGAAAATAAAGCACATCTGATTAAGAGTTCCTTGAAAGAAATAATAACCTATTTATGCTTCCAGTCCTGTCATGTTCGTGGTTCTCAGAACTAACCACATTGTTGGGACATTCAGTGTACATGTGTAAACATTTCATACCTTAATCTTTGAAAATATTTAATAACTATATTTTTTACATTTATTTTATCTGTATTATTTTTTAGCCAAGACTTACATACCTATTAAAATATTTTCCTTATCTTTTCATTGCTATAATATTTAAAAAAAAACATCTTAAGGTCGAGTTTGTGACCAAAAGATTTGGTATAACTGTTATATTGCAAACCTTTGGTTTATAAGCAAAAAATCCATTAAAAGGAATTGTCAACTGACTGTACCTTGGTTATAGCCCCCCAGTGGCACAGCGGTATGTCTGCGGACTTATACTGCTAGAAACCGGGTTTGATACCCATGGTGGGCAGAGCACAGATAGCCCTTTGTGTAGCTTTGTGCTTAATCACAAACAACAACAACCTTAGTTATATTTTAAATGTGATCTTAAAGGTTATAAATATATTTTAATCAATTTTATAAGGAATAAACTTCATTGTCCTGTTTACAGCAAAAATTCAAATAAATTTCATTCACTCTTGACAATTACGCATAATAAGTAAATAAAGTGAGCAACAGGTGAGGAAAATATGTGAAAACATGGAAGTATGTGACATCTTTAGAACAAAATTCAGAGTTATAACATTTCAAGAGTCACCTTGGTATTTTCTACATTATTAGAAAGATGCATTAACTAAATATGTGTGAACACCTTTCTTTCTTTATTTTAACTTAAGAGTTAAATTGTTAGAGCTTCTCAAAAAGGAGTCTCAGCTCTCTGTTAAAGCTGCACCAATTGCATATGTAATACAAGAAGTTTGCCTTTAGAGTAAAGTAAACAGCAATTATTTGCATATCATTGATAAAAAAATTGTGTAATTTAGTTACAAGTAATATTGATATATTTATTGAATTCTTTTGTAACTTCCATTTTATATCAGACTATAGTGCTTACATGCTAGCACACATTCACACGTATTTGTATAATCATACGAAGTTTACTTTTTAGTGAGAAGCTGCCTTTTAAAGGTTTTATTTCCTTTGGCAAATGTTATATTTTTTACACTCAGTTTTTTATTTCCATGTGCAGGTAATAACCTCAGTCACCCTTCTGTTTAAGGATTCATGAAATTGTTTCTATTTCTTTTATTATTTTATTACCTGGTGTGAATTGTATGTTTTATTGTTTAGTGTATTATTGACATACCAAGTTGTACTTTCAAACACCACAAGCTTGGTTTAATATTACATTTCATATGTATACACATCAATAGAAATAGTAGCTCTCTGTCTGTGGAAGAACTGTTGCAAGAACAGGAGTATAATTTTGCACAGTTTAGACAACAGATTCAAGAACAACATAAACATCAAATGGAGACTTTGTTGCATCAACAGATGGAGCAGAGGAAAAGTTTACAGGAGAAATTAGCCAATCAGGAAGTCCTGCTTGCTCAAGGGCCAGGGTTTATCAAAGAGACAGAAAGAAATCATCAGAGTGAGATTCATTTTCTACTTTCTCAATTTAGAATAATTCAAAAATTATAAATGAACAAATGCTTTTGTGGCAAGTTATTGTTCTGTTATTATAGTACAAAGTAGTTGCCAATATTCTGTATATAGATTTGCAAATTCATAATTAGTGTTTCTAGATAATACAGAGAAACAAAAAATTAAGAATAATTACAATTTATGATATTTTAGCTGTGACAAAGTAACTACTGCTATAACTCATATCAGTCTTTCCTTTCAGTTCAGTTTATCACAGAAATGATCATTTTGGGTCATGACCACGTTAAGAGTAATAATCTTACAAAGTACATGAGTGTCACAGACAACTATGAATTTACAGGCCTATCAAAAACAAGTTTTGGACGTAATTAGGTTGTGTTTTTAAAGTTTAATTAAAAACTAATTTTAAGTGAACTTGAATTGCTTTTGAAAGTAAACAGCTAAAATTCAATAGAAGAAACATAATACAGTAAAATCACTTCCCATATGGTACATTACTTCCTCTCACATAATTAGCTATACTCATTCAGTGCTGTCCTCTATATGCAAAAAAACAATTATGCCTACTCTCCATTGGAAATGACTCATTCCAATGTGTGTCTCATGCAAATCATCATATGACAACCCTCCACCAAACATACACTCTTGTTATGCATGTGACTCCCTCTATTCAATTCTACCAGGTTATCACTTCTCATTTGACAGTGCTCATGTTTAGACGTTTCAAATTTTGCTCTCGTGTGCTTCGTTGTTGTATCTTTAACAGTTATGTTTCCCAATTGTTTCTTAATTGTTTTTGATTATACAGTTGCCTCCTTTATTTTCAATTTACTTTCCAGTCATTTTTTTCCCACACATTTGTCTTTATCTATCAAACAATTTGTTTGATTAATTATTATTTACCTTGAAGTCCAAGGTTAATGTGACCACTTCAGGTCTCACACCTACTACTAGCTGTGGGTAGGGGCAACCTATCAATGGATTTATCTGCAATTATTTGCCAAGAGATTGATCTTTATATTGATCAACCACTTTTTCCTGAAGTGGCCCCACTTCCTCATGAACAATCCAAACCTGTTCGTTCTGATGAAGATTTTGATAGCCTTTTTACAATACCAGATTTTGCCATGTTTTCCTATGTTCCACCTGCAGAATCAGCTAGGCCTAATACAGCATTTTTAGATATGATTTCTTAGGTATGTGATGTTTTATCCCTTTCATATGATCCTCATCCTCCTTTGTTGCACGATAGTTCTTCTTCTGAATAAATAGAGTTGTTTACACAAATGTTTCAACAAGTAAATGCTTGGAAT